TACATAGGTGTGAGAACTTACAAAGCCGCAGAATCAAATAACGAATACTGATAAGTCGTCGAATGGTGAATTCATTCACTTCGATTTCAAACCCATGGAATGCGAACTTTCTTTTACCATAAACAGAAAATGAACTATAGGAATAAATAGGTGAACTGAAGATAAATACCTTTATCTCCATATGAACGGTTTTGCGATCAACTGGCTCTATAAAGTGAGTGTCGCCGAGATCAGAATAGACTCCACTGTTCAGTAAAATGACCTGAAACTGTCGCAAAACAAAACAGCAGTCGGGCTAATGGCTATTAGCCTTATTGTCGCTAAGGTAACGAGAAACAGAAATTTCAAACCAATCAGAGGCTGGAATATTTACAGAGCGATTTCTAAAGGAAAACTAGTTGCTCCTCTGAGTACGTGTGCGAAGTATTTCCAGGCATTTTTTTTTTAATTTTTTTTCTTCTATTTTTGCCAGTGTTTAGAGGGTTTCAGAGTGACTACGAATAGATCGAAAGTTTCAACGCAGTCGAATCTGAAATGACTGGGAAGAACTGATAAACCACGGCATGAAAGCTTGGCAGACGAAATAAAAAAGTGTTTCATATTTTATATCATGTGCGTGTTTCGGAGATGCATAGGTTTGATAATACCTGAGCCGATTACCACCACCGCGAAGACTAGTGGTTTACCCAGCACTCCAAGTGTTCTTACACGAAGTACTTTGGTCAGGAACTCCAGCGGAAGTAACTTATTAAGCTTGACTCAGGGTGCATGGTAGACGATGCCTCAAATAAGCGTCACAGTTTAAACTTGTTTCAGCTGCTTAGAATCTCAAATAATTCCGAGTCAGAGTCTTCCCCGGGACTTGATTTTTCTGAATTGAAGTTTCCTACACTGCGCAGGCGTGCCAGGAGCGGTGATCCTCAGTAGATGGGAGATTTAAGGAGTTCTGTTCAGTTTTGGCAAAAAAAGAAAAAGCGTACAGTCAACTAGAAAGAAGCTCT